TTATATAGAAAACGTTGAAGAATCTATAAAAAAAACGACTAGAAATGATAAACAAATACAGTAAAGTTATAAAATACAAGATCCATGTACAAAAATCCACTGAAATTTCAGAAAAAGAAATGAAAAAAATTCTTTTTGCAATTGCCACACAAAGAATAAAATACCTAGGAATAAACACAGGATGTGAAGGACCTGTATACTGAAAACTACAAAGCATTATTAAAAGAGATTGAAAAAGACACAATGAAATGGAAAGATATTGTGTGTTTGTGGATTAGAAGAATAAACACAATGAAAATGTCCATATTACTCAAGGCAATACAGAGATTTAATGCAATCCACATCAAAATCCCAAAGACATTTATTAAAGAAATAGAACAAAATATCATCAGATTTGTATAGAACCACAAAGACTACAAATGGCTAAAGCAATCTCACATAAAAAACAAAGTTGAAAGTATCACACTGTCTGACTTCAAATTTGACCACTGACCAATAATCAAAAAAAACATTGTATTGGCAGAAAAGCAGACACACAGACAATGAGACAGAATTGAGAGCCCCAAAATAACACTACATGTATATGAGCAAATAATTTTTCACAAAAAAGCAAAAAAATACAATGGAGAAGAGAAAAGCTCTTCAATAACTGGTGCTGGGGAAACTGAAAAGCCACACGCAAAAGAATGAAACTAGACCACAATTTGTCCCTGTGTACAAAAATTAATTCATAGTGGGTCAAAGAGCTAATATAAGATCGGAAACAATAAATTACATAGAAGAAAACATAGGTACTAAACTTATAGGCCTTGGTCTTAGAGAAGATTTTATGAATTTGACCCCTAAATCAAGGGAAACAAAGGCAAGAATAAATTAAGGGGGATGTACCTATAAAGCTTCTGCACAATAAAAGAAACTGACAATGAAGCAAAAAGGCAACCAACCTAGTGGGAGAAGAAACTTGCAAACAACAACTCTGACAAAGGCTTAATATTCAAAATATATAAAGAACACATACAACTGAATGCCAAAGAACCAACCAACAGTCTTACATCTATACCATGGACATGAATTGGCAATAAAAAAGAACAAAGTATTTATACACACACACAAAAAAAAACACTTAATTGAATCTCCCAGAATTATGGCAGGCTAAAAAAAACAGCCGGTCCCAAAAGGTTATATCCTATATGAATCCATTTACAAAACATTCCTCAAATGTCAAAATTAGAGAAATGGAGAACAGATTAGTAGTTGTGGGGGAAGGGCCTGGTAATAAAAAGGCATTGGGGGGGAAAAATAGGACTTCCGCCAAGATGGAGGCATAGGTGGAGACGTTGTGCTTCCTCACACAACCAAGTTTAGAGACAACTAAATAATAGCAACAGAAAACACAGCCAGAACGCAGAAAATTGAACTTTTCGAAAGTCTGATAACAACAAATTCTTCAGCCTGGCCGGTAAGAGGGGCGAAACCAGCAGCTGGCAGAGCGGGGTTGCACAGGAAAACTCGGTCAGACGGACTCAGGCCCATGGAATCCAGGCACAGGGCTGGACCTGGTGGGCAACTCAGCGAGCGACAGCGGGGAAACAGCCAGGGAGCAGGGCTGCGGGTTGACTGTGGTTGCGCATTCGTGTGTGGATAGACAAGCGAGGGAGTGGGCGATTGGACGAGAGCCAGCAGCCCCAGCGGCAAGCCACAGTGGAGGGCGCTGCCATTTCCCCGCTCTGACCCCGCCTCCACATACAGCGTCATAACCCAGCAACCTAAGTGGCCCTGCCTCGGTGAACAATCTAAGGCTCTGCTCTTCACCCAGCTGCGAGAATCAGCAGAGGGGGCTGCCATTTCCCCGCTCTGACCCCGCCTTCACATACAGCATCACGACCCAGCGATCTGGGAGTCCAAGGCTCCACTCCTCATACTTAACAGGCACAAACAGTCCAAAAATGGCTCAAGAAGATCTCAAAGCCCCAGAGCCTATAAATCTAAGCAATGAAGAAATAGCAAAACTCTCAGACGCACAGTTTAAAACACTGGTGATCAGGATCCTCACAGATCTGGTTGATTATAGCCACAAATTAGACAAACATATGAAGGCGAAACTAATTGAAATGAATGGAATTGCACAGGTAACCAATAGCGATGAAAAGGAAACTGGGACCCAAATCAATGGAGTAGACCAGAAGAAAGCAAATAATGGTCAAACAGAAAAGAGTGAAGAAGCAAGAATTCAAAAAAATGAGGAGAGTCTTAGGAACCTCCAGGACATCTTTAAACGCTCAGACATCTGAACTATAGGGGTACCAGAAGGGGGAAAGGAACAGCCACCAATGGAAAACTTATTTGAACAAATAATAAAGGAGAATTTCCCCAATCTGGCAAAGGAAATAGACTTCCAGGAAATCCAGGAAGCTCAGAGAGTCCCAAAGAAGTTGGACCCAAGAAGAAACACACCAAGGCACATCATAATTACATTAGCCAAGATTAAAATGAAGGAGAGAATCCTAGAAGCAGCAAGAGAGAAAGGGGACAGTCACCTACAAAGGAATCCCCATCAGACTGTCAGTGGATTTCTCAAAAGAGACCTTACAGGCAAGAAGGGGCTGGAAAGAGGTATTCCAAGTCATGAAATCCAAAGACCTACAACCAAGATTGCTCTATCCAGCAAAACTTTCATTTAGAATGGAAGGACAGATAAAGTGCTTCTCAGGTAAGGTCAAGTTCAAGGAGTTCATCATCACCGAGCCCTTATTATATGAAATGTTAAAGGGACTTATCTAAGAAAAAGAAGTTAAAAAAACATGAACAGTGAAAGGACAACAAACTCGCAGTTATTAACAACCACACCTAAAACAAAAGCAAACTAAAAGGACAGCTAGATCAGGAGTGGAAACATAGAAATGAAGATCTCAAGGAGGGTAGCAACAGGGGAATGGGAGAAGGAGAAGGGGGGAGAAGGTACAGAAAATAAGTAGCATAGACAGTAGATAGAAAATAGATGGGGGGGCAAGAATAGTATGGGAAATAGAGAATCCAAAGAACTTGAGACATGTGGTCATAAACTAAAGGGGGGGGTAATGGTGAGGATGGGGGGTAGGGTGGAGGGGAATGAAGGGGGGAATAGAACAACTGTAATGGCATAATCAATAACAAAATAAATTTAAAAAATAAAAAAATAAAATTTAAAATAAAATAAAAAATAAACAACCAGAACAGGGAAAAAAAAAAAAAAGGCATCGGGAAGGATCCTTCTGGTGATGAAAAGGTTCTGTATCTTGACCACATCAGTGTCAATATCTGGGATTTAATTTTGCACTATTTTACCAGGGAAACAGTAAAGGATACACAGGCTCTCGCTATTGTTTTTTTACAATTGGATATGAACCTACAATGATTTCAAAATTAAAGATGAGCTATAAAAAGTGGCAAATCACTTGGTTTGGCAGTTTCTAATGACATTTAAAATAAATTCATCCTATGACCTAGCCATTCTTCTCCTGTGTAATATCCAGAAGTAATGAGTGCATTTGTCCATGAAAAGATTTGTACAAGAATGTTCACAGTAGTTTTATTCTTAATAGCTGAAATTTGGAAATAACCCAAATGTCCTTACACAGGAGAATGGATTAAAAATATGATATATTCCCCTGGCTGGGTGGTTCCGTTGGTCGGAGCATTGCCCTGCACACCAAAAGGCTGTGGGTTTGATTCCCGGTCAGGTCACATACCTTGGTTGGGGGTTTGCTCCCCAGCTGGGGTGTGTACAGGAGGCAACCAATCAATGTTTCTCTCTCTCCCTGTCTCTCTCTCTCAAAAATACCTTGTTACACTGTACTCAGCCTTCTTCTTGTGATGCTGTGATGAGATGCAGTGGGCTGATGTAGGCATTGTGACGGAGCATTAGGCTGCTATAAAAGCTACTTGAAGCCCTGGCTGGTACAGCTCAGTGGTTGAGTGCAGACTGTGAACCAATGGGCCACCAGTTCAATTCCTAGTCAGGGCAATGCCTGGGTTGCCAGTAGGGGCATGTGAAAGGCAACCGTACACTGATGTTCTCTCCCTCTCTGCCTCCCTTCTTCTCTTTCTAAAAAATATAAATTTATATATATATATATATATATATATATATATATATATATACACACACACACACACACACACACACACACACACACACACAAAGAGTTCCTTGAACATACAGCACTGTGATCACCAAGACAGCTACTAAGTAACTAGGAGGCAGGCATATGGACATGGTGGACACAGGGTGGGACAGAGCGGGCAGCACGAGAGTTCATCACGCTACTCAGAATGGCACACCATTTAAAGCTTATGAATTGTTTATTTTTGGAATTTTTATCTAGTATTTTTGGAGCGTGGTTGACTGTGGGTAACTGAAACCTCAGAAAGTGAAAGCACAGATAAGGAGGGACTACTTGCTCACAAAATATGGATGAACCTCACAACCATTATGTTAAGCAATGGGAATCAGAAACAAAAGAATACATAGTGCACGGTTACATTTATATGACGCTGAGAACAGGCAAACTCATTGATGGTGGTAGAAGATAGGCTTCTGTTTACTACCGATGTGGGGATGGTATCAATTGGAAAGGAACTTGAGGGAAACTTCTGGAGTGAAGGAAATGTGGTTGTATAGATATACACACAAAGTTAAAAGTTACTGAGCTCTGTACTTGAGGTTCATGCATTTACTACATGTCAATTATACTCTAATAAAAAAAATCCTCATTCATGGGGGAAAAAGATGTATCAACCAACCCCACTGCATGGACTTTATTTGGAGCACCTGACACTCAGCCGACACCAAGTGTATAGATAAGTTACGTGTGAATTCTTTCAATCAAAATATGTTCATATACATTTTACGTATAGTACCTATAGACTATATCTCCATAAAGTGTCCATCCATTGTAACAAATCGAGGCAATGGGATTCATTTTCTTTCAACTTTAACGTGCTCTCTTGTTTTCTCTGAGGACCTGATGTTATTTTATGAGGATGATCCGAAGCCACCTTTGCTGACAGTTCCTCCTGCCATTGTGTCATCAACTTCATGGCTGTCAGAAGGGCAAGCAGACATGTGTAACCTCTGGGATGCGGGTAAGTCGGCCAGGGAGTAGGACGTTCACTCAGAAACGTGGATAAGAGACACCTGGCAGGAATGTTTTTTCATCGGATCTTATTCTGTGTGATATAGCAACAACGGCTTTGATGTAACTGATGATAAGGGACAGGACTAGCATGGGCAAGTGCCTCCACATGCCATTCTATAATCTGATTTTACCATTTGTTTCCATGTGTTTTTTCTTCTTTTCATTCTTTTGCTTAAAAAATTATTGGCTACAAACCTTAAACCTTTTACAAATGGTTAAGAGCAGAAAAATTAATTTTAGTTCCTTTTCTCATTTATATTAACGTCTCTTTGATAAAGAGTTTAAGTTATGACATTTTTCAGAAGCAAGCATTGGAGGAAAAAGCAAGGTGCACGGTACCCCACAAATTGGTTCATCGCCCCTTGAATAGTTAACACAGGAGAAAGGCACAGTATGAAGTTGTGCAACACTGGCCTCCAGTCAGTCACACTGTCAAATTCCGACGGGCTCCACAGCTGCTCCAGCTCTGGTTGGGTCACTGCTAAGCCACTCTGTCCTCCGTGACTCTCAGTTTTCAGTACATTCTTCCTCTTGGACGTCTCAGAAAATGGGGTGAATGGTCTGCCAAGATGAAAATGAACTTCTTCATTAGCACTTTCACCCCCTGACGCATCTCCACTTCCCTACTGTCCCAGGCATCCATCCCCGTATCACAGAGGCGGCTCCTCGTTTCTGGGTTTCATCCTCTCACCTTCGGACTCACTTCCCCCCTTAAGTAGATCCCCAATATCCAACATATAAAAACGAGTAGACTTACTAGTAGATTTATTTTACAAGTTCATGTCTAGACAGTTTTCTTATTAAACGAGTCGTGAGAATTATGAGGCTATTTCAATAGACACAAAAACAAGAAGTTGCCGGCCATGGGCATGTCTGTGGCACAGGATGGCATTATTCAAATGGATGGTTAGTTACAAGTGGTCACAGTTTCGTAGACGGCTTGCTTCGTATCCTTAGGATACACTTGATGTAAACTGATCCAGATCCAGAACCTTGAAACGAGAGCAGCGAGGAAACATATTTGCATTCTAATAACCCCACCCCATACAGTTCCCTCACCCCAACAGTTTTTAATGGACTTTATTGTTAAGAGCAGTTTTAGGCTCAGAGCAAAATTGAGCAGAAGGTGCAGAGATTTCCCAAGCACACCCTGCCTCCTAACAAGCACAGCTTCCCCCCACTGTAAACACACCACACGCGGGCGGTGCTTGCGTTGCAGTCAGTGAACCTATAGCCTCATTGCCACCCGAGGTCCGTGGTTTACATTTGGGTTGTCTGTTCTCTGGGTTTGGACAAGTGTGTGACATGTATCCACCACTGTAGTATCATGTAGAGAAGTCTGGCCCTAAAAGTCCTCTTCTCCCTGCCCTTCCACCCCCAAGCAACCACTCATGTTTTTAACTGCCTCCATACTTCTGTCTTTTCCAGAAAGTCGAATAGTTGGCATCGTACAGCAGGTAGGCTTTTCAGATGGTCTTCTCTCACTTATGCACTAAGTTTCCTCCGTGCCTTTTTGGGGTTTGACAGCCCATTTCTTTTCAGTGCTGCGTAGGATTTACCAGGGTATTACCCATCTACCTGCTGAAGACCATCGAGGTTGTGTCCAAGTTTTGGCAACTGAACATAAAGCTGCTATAAATATCCGCGGGCAGGGTGCGTGGACCTGTTTCCCTTTGCCAGCATTTTCATACAAGTGAAACAGAGTGTAAATGAGTATCAGCGGAAGCCCTAAGAGGAAAAACGTCACAAAACTTGTCCCACAAGGGATGATTCCACCATTTTTCTTGGGTAGGACTCATTTTAATTGGAGGAGCTTTTCCCACTTACACATTGGTCTGTTCTCCAATCTTTCCTTTATGCCGATCTCAGAGAGCTCTTTCGGAAATACAGACCTTAGCGTTTCACTTCTCACCTTAAAAACTTGCAACAGTTCTCCACTGCCAACAGGATGTCTAATTTGTTTTTTGTACTTGCCACGCAAGACTTTTCCTAGTCTGGGCCCAGCCGGCCTTTTTGGCCTCCCCACCCAATAACTGGCAACATTCTACAGTGCTCTAACCAGAGCATTCTATGGTGCTCCACGGCGCTCTGCTACTGGTGCTTCCTCTCGGAATGTCTGTCAGTCTCTCCAGCCGTGTAACACAGTGCTCTGAAACTCCGAGGTGTAAAGTAACCATTTATTCTGCTCACAGACTCTCTGGGTCAGGAATTAGGACAGGGTACAGTGGGGACGGCTTATCTCTACTCCATGACAGGTGTTTGGGCCTCAGCTTGGGACCACAGAGGCTGGGGACAGCAGTACCGGGGGCCCAGCCCCTCACAGATCTGGGAGTTGAGGCTCACCATCTGCCTGGGGCCTCAGTTTCTCTCCACACGGGCTAGTTTGGGTTTTGTCACAGCACATCACACGGTGGCTGCATACCAAGGGTGAGCATCCTGTGAAAAAAGGACCAGGCAGAAGCTGAATAACCTGGCAAGTCACACTGTGATACTCCTCCGCGCTCGGTTCATCAAGGCAATTACAAAGGCTTGCGCCAGTTCAGGGGGAGGGGACGCAGACTCCCACCTGTCCCCCTACAAGTGGCAGTATCGTATTGAAAGAAAGCATATGGGACGGGATGTGTGTTTGTGGACTCATCTTTGAAAACCGCGGTCTGCCACAGCCCACCACCACGTTAGGGGTGCTCAACAATGTCCTGTCCCCGCTGGGGCCCAGTGGCAAGGCCCTGGCGAGGCCCAGCTCAGACGTCCCCGCTGCTGCGAAGTCTTTCTGCGCACGGAGTCTCTCCTTTCACTGTGTTCCCGCAGGACTTTATCCCTACCCTAGTATGGAATTCATGGCTTTGTATCACATTATTGTATAGGTTTTATTGATTTTTAATTCACATAAGTGATAAGCGAGCATACTCTTATTTTTAAAAACTCAAACAATATAGAGTTAAAATCCCCCCTCGACTGTTCCTTACATTTGACACAGGTCCCAGAGTTAACTTTTATTATTAACTTGTCAGTTACTCTCCAGACTTTTCCGTGTGCATTTGTGTATGTACATGTATCTTTAAAAGTATGTAAAAATGACTTTTGTTATTTTATAACATTTTTTCTGTATTTTTATGACACTTTTTAAATAATATCACTGAACAGTCCTTCAGCGTATATCAATATTTAGAGATTTACCATATTTTTTTAACTGTTGCATTGCCTGGATATTCTAGTTTATGTCCCTGCTGATAAACTCGTTGGTGTTCTATATTACAAATAATGTTTCAGTGAGTATCTTTGTGCACATATGCACATGTTTCTTAAGAGTAGATTCTTAGAAATGGAATCCCTGGGTCAGAATGGATGCCCATTTTCATTTTAATCCATATCAATACCAGTTTATACTGGTTTGCACTGGAGTGTACGAGAGTACTGCTCACACTTACCAGCACTTGATATTTTTCAAGTTTTCAGTTTTCATCTCTTGGATAAAGGTTACATTGCATAGCAGGTATAATATGCACTTTCTCCACGCGTTCATCGCACATTTCCATTTCCTCTTCTGTGGATTGCCTATTTATATCACTAACCTGGTTTTCCTTTGGATTGTGTGTTGTTATTTGAATTGATTTTGTAACATTTTTGTACAGGTGTTACTAACCCTTTTTGGTATTTGTGTTGCAAATATCATCTTACAGGCTATCTTTAAACTTCCTTTATAGAAAGTTTTTTTGTTTTGTTGATGTCTTTATAGAAGTTTTGTGTTTCATATGGTCATTTTTTTATATAATCGTATTTATTCTTCATTTTCTTCTGAAGATTGGTGTCTCACATGTTTGTAAGAAGCCCTCCTCTGCATCCGGCCCGTAATTCATGTTCTCCCATATTTCATTTTACTTGTTTGCATTCTTTACCCATCTGGACTTAAAGCGTCTGTGAATGGTTTTAGACAGGGCAGTGGGCATCAAAGACATTCATTGACGAGTTCATCTTTCTCTTCTCTTTTTAAGTGAGTCTTTAACCTGTGCTAAAAGTATATGTTTAACAACTTTATCCTATTCCATTGATCCATTTTTCTATTTCTGATCTATTTAATTTTTTGTAACTATTATAATAATATGCCATAGTATAAATGTATCCTATTTTATTTAACCAGTATTATGTTAATGGTTATTGAAGTTATTTCCAGGTTTTTACCATATAGATAATGATAAAATGACAGCTTTCTTCTCTTGCAAATTAAGTAGGCTTTTTATTTATATGTTTCCACAATTTGAAGCAGATTCTAAAATAAATTACTCTGAATTTCTTTTGGTAAATTCTGTCCATCTCACTAACTTAGCCTGTCAACAGATGGTTCTAATTTCCATGTTATAATTTTGGCAACTTCAGCCCAAGGCAAAAATAAAGTGGGAAAGTCACGTGGGCACAGCATGCTCAGCCTTCCGCTTGTACCTGCCTTTCCCCAGAATCACGGGATCGCTGTGCACACTCTGGCCTGGGCTGGGGAGCACTTACACCCTTCCCAGCACTTGACCTTTGCACCCCTGACCCCCTTCCTTCCCTTACTCTTCTGAGTGACAACACTCTTGAACTTTGTGCGCAGCTTTTCTTTATAGTTTCACTACATATGTTTATACTCTGAACAATACATTACATATTGAATTTACAGGCTTTTAACCTTTTTCTAAATAGAGTCCTTTGGAATTTATTTTTCTGTGATCTCTTATCACTCAGTAACACGTTCTTAAGATTCCTGTGTGTGCACATGGTTGTCAGTTGTTTTCACAGCTGCAGAGTACAATATTCTGCTGTGTACATATATTAGAATGTATTCATGCACTCTACACTAGAACACTATCCCCAGCATAGTGTCTCAAGTTTTTTGTATCATACCCAGTGCTGTCTATGAACATGTTTGTATGAGACTCCTGGTTGCCACAGACAAGAGATTCACTAGGGCAT